CCTCCTCTCTTTAAGTTATATACCATTTATGGCATTCATTTTCCTCCCTTCTTGGAGATCATCCATGCTGATTTGCGTGCCTAAGACAGGCCTTGATTTTTGTGGTTTGGCACTGCATCTATGTTGAAAATGAATGTAGTGCCCCTTTTACTGTATGTATTTTAAACTATCCTAATCCACCTTGCCCCTGCCTGTCAAACTGTGTTTTCTGAGTTTGATCTGGTCTAACGGTGCTCCAAGATGTAAATTCACCACTATTACTCTCAGGAAAATAGGAGGAGGTATGTCTCTCCCCAATATATAGTTTTATTAATATGCAACTCTTTAACTAGTCATTGATTAGAAAAAGGCCTCCACAGACACCTTATGGGTGTCCTCTGAACAGATGTGTTTAGACATTCTGTTGGACACTTTCAGAGGATAGGACTTTGTAATTGTCATGTGTAATGCTGCATGCACGTATTGGTCCTATATTGTGGGTGTTTTATAAATTGGTCAGAAGCAGGCAAATCTCTTCGTACCCTTCTCCCCTCTGTCCTCAGTACAGCTCTTTCTACTGAGCTGCCAAAGTTGGTCTGTGGATACTTACAAGAGCGTGGTCACATTATGGTTAGAGTGCATCGTCTCCTCTTAGATGGTTCGCTCCCTTGTTTGAAGACTCTGGTGATGCTCTGCCCCCCGGAATTGTCTGATAAATGTGGAGCTATTTTCAGTTACAGCATTTTATTTCCTCTAAATATATATCCCAAGTCCCATGAGACTTTGCAATATGCACTGACATACATTGATAGCTGATAGCTTGGATTGTAGGGTTCTATAAGAAGGAACTGAAAAAATACTAGTAACAGATGGGCGGTTTCAGAGTTATTCACTAAAATGAGAATTTTAAGTGAATGTGGTCAAACAGGAGAATTTTTCAAATTTGGCTATTTTGGCTATACTACATCCACTACACACACACACACTCTGTATCCACTATACACATGCATACAAAGCATTCACTATACACACTGCATACATTACACACACTGCATCTCCTGGATGTGCACAAGGGTGAAGGTGGGAGGAGGGCCGCATTTCATCCTTCTCCCCAGGCAGCACAATGTCTTGGGCCGGCCCTGAATCCAATGCCTTCTCATAGGAAAGCATTGGGAGGCCAATATGCATGTCTCAGAAACATCACCATATATGTTTTTATACTACCTTTCATTCTGATCTATACGTAGTACGCAGGAGCCTTGTGAATTACTCCGGCAATGCTCACTTGAACGTGAAATTATGTAGGTATATCAATCTGCTGATGGTTTACAATTGCTAAGGGTATCCGCATAAATGCAATATGAAGGAGACATGATGCTGGTGTGTGTGCTCATTTGCATGTCAAGATGGGAACGCTGGGATAGTTGTATAAATATGATTTCTCGAGTTTCTATGCCCAAGAAGAACTTCTTAATGTCCAACTTGAGATATGCAGGTGATGAATAACATTATTTTTGTAATTGTAGTGTGGGGAGTTTTATTGTGTTTAGCCTCACCACAATCTTTTTGGTCACTGGTTACATGACATCTACCTAGCTAGATGTCAGCTGTCACGCCAGAACATGCCCAACGCTAATGAGACCAACAAGGTCATAATTGCAGTCTGTGAATAGTTTCTGGTCACTGATACTTTTGTATCGCAGCCAATTCGTAGTGTAAAACAGTGTTCAATGCTAGGGGTACCTGAACAAATGCACTACGAAGTCTGAAACGGTCTGTCTCTGTTCACTTACATGTCAAGATGAGAACTCGGGGATAGTTGTGGAAACTTTTTTTTTCAAGTTTAAATGCCCATGAAGGACTTCTCCACTTGAAACAATCATGTAATTCTTAACAGTAATTGTTGACAGTCAACAAGAATTTTAAAGACTGTATTCATGTAAATACGACTTTGCAGAATTTCAGCAGAACATACATACACTCATACTGCACTCTTTTTTTGCAAAACGTTTATCACATAATTTGCAGAAGGAGTCAAACCGGCAGACAGCGGAAGACAAATAACCAAAAGAAAGACACAGAGAAAAGAGTTATTCTCTCAACCACCTGCAGGTGGCTATCTTCTATTTCCAAAGTCACAAAAGAAAACATACAGATTCCGCCGTTAACTTCGTTATACACCTAGAGTCCATACTTTCTATTAGGGCTGGACAGAGCTTTGAACATTAGTTATAAGTTTGTCCATAAGGCAGATGGATTTAAGATCGCAAAGTAGAAAAGAAAGGGTGGGGATTCAAAGTGATGCCAGGTTTCCACGAGCACTCTGAAAGTTTACAGGTCAATGATGTCATTTTCATTTGTGTATGGTACACCGCAGCCAGCAGGTTCTTTATGTGATGTGCTTGTATAACATACACTGAATTATTTATATTTATTTATGTGTTCATTTCACAATCTGTTGATTTATCTGATCACATACTGACTGTATATTGAAACACTTATGCAAAATGTTCTTATTGATCTAAGCTCTTAAAGGACTACTATAGGCACCAAGAGCACTTCAGCTCAATGAAGTGGTCTGGGTGCCAGGTCCCCCTAGTTTTAACCCTGCAGCTGAAAACATAGCAGTTTTAGAGAAACTGTTATGTTTACACTGCAGGTTTAATCCAGCCTCTAGTGGCTGTCTCCCTGGCAGCCGCTAGAGGCCACTTCCGCGATTTACACTGAGTATATCGCACCTGTTTGAAAAAGATCCCCATAGGAAAGTATTGAGTAATGCTTTCCTATGAACTAGTTTGAATGCACGCACGCCTTTGGCAGCGCATGCGTGTTCGGCTCCACTTGGGAGCTGACATTGATGGAGGAGAGGTTACCACTGCCGAGGGAGCCCGGCGCTGGATTAAGGTAAGCAAATAAGTGGTTAATTAACCATTTATTCGCCGCAGAATGGGGCCCTAGTCACCATTAAGGTGACCAGGGCTCTATAGCATTAGGAATACGTATTTGTATTCCTAACGCTATAGTGTTCCTTTAACACATTTTTGGTTATTCATATTAAGTTCTTTACTTTGGTCCAGAAAGGAGTTACCGTCAGATATCTCCAGAACATGAAGTAAAATAATTTTTCATTTACCTGAAACCTGTGTCTCAGTGTTATTTACTTCAGAGTGTACGCACCTCATTTCAAACAATCTGAACAGGGGCAGATAATCAAGCAAACACTTGGTTTGCTCTAAAACAATTTGGCGCCCAACGTGGGGCTCCGGGTTGTGACCCTTTTCCCGGTCAGCTGTCCTAGAAGACACCGGGCAGACCTGCAGTGACGGGACAGAGCCTAATCAATTCTGAATATACGGTCATGACTGCCTCCGCACCTTGCCTATATATCCTGTCCCTGTGATTGGCCTGTCTCCGTGTCTGTGTCGGCTGCTGGAGGGCACCAAAAACAGGTAAATAGCTTGCCTGGAGTCCCTTTGTATAGAACCTGTATATTGACTATCTGCCTCCTGGGTGTCAATGTGTTTTGCATTAGGGGAGGATAGAGCGTGGGAGGTATTTTCTCAGGGGTTTTGCTGACAGTCGTAGTGCTGTAAGCATGCAACTGGATTTGTTGTCAGCCCCAGCGCAGTAAGCACGTGGCTGGGTTTTATTGTTAGCTGTAGCGCAGTGAGCGCGCAGTGGGTTTTATTGTCAGCTGTAGCGCAGTGAGCACGCAGTGGGTTTCATTGTTAGCCGTAGCGCCGGCATTGTGGAGTGCAGTTGTATTACTCTGGGTCTATCTTTGCTTTGGGGTTTGTGGTTTGATTGTATCTGTATTTTGAACTTTCTGGTTTATATGCCTGTTGTTTGCAATAAATGTAAAAGTTGTGTCCTGTTTGTCTCCTCCCCTTTCCCTTTGTATCCCTTTGTGAAGAGAAGTGTTTGGTCACACACTACTCGCCCCGCTCCATGGCCACCTTTGGGTGGACGGACTCAGTGACTAGTCTACATTTTGGGAAGATGCACGCAGGCACCACCTCCATGGCAGTCAAGCACTGTAGACGTTCCTTTTCCTGTCTGTCTCTTTCTTGTGACTACTTGTTTAGAGAGGATGGGACAGGTACATGCAAAACACACCAAGGGTTGGTTAGCCTGTGACATAGTGAGGGAGAGGGAGGGCGAAGAGGCAGTGGGGAAGGTGAAGAAGATTGTTAAGCTATGTGGCATTACTATGTCTTCCAGCGGATGGCATAAGCAGCTAAAAGAGAAAAAAGGATTATTGCAGAACAATAACCTAGTAAAGACAGCAGAAGCCTGATTTAGAGTTGCCAGAGCAATTCACCTGGAGGGGTGGGTAGAGGAAGAAATAGACCTGGGGGGACAGAGATTATATGTGAATCATGAAAGTAATTGTAATGCTGAAGGTATTGTGGAAATCCCATGCCAGCCATTGCCCTATCATGGCGTCTGGCACAGAGTCCCCGTCCCCTCCACCCAGTAACCAGTATCTACAGTCACCGCCCCCTAGCCCCTGCCCCTACGTACCCCGTCCTTAGGGCGGATGGATCCTTGTAATCCCCTGTCCCCATCATGCCTTCCATGCCCGCCCCTGATGCGTCTCCCCTCTCCGCCCCTATTATGCCCGCCCCTGTCACACCTACCCCTACCGTATCTGCTCCTGTCACTTCCACCTCTGCCCTGCCCTTACCTCCCACTCCTGTCACTTCCGCCCTTGCTATGCCCTCACTTCCTGCCTCTGCTCCTTCCGCCCCCGTCATTGCCATCGCTCCCGCCCCCATCGTCACTTCCTATCCCGCACCTGTCGTCACTTCCGTTCCTGCCCTTGTCATGGCTGCCCCAATGATGCCTACACCCGTTATGCCCATCCTTGCGGATGAACCTTTATTGTCCCTAGCAGACCCGCCCATTCTCATGCCCCAGGGGGGAGTCCAGGTGTTGCCTAATCCCCTCTATCCCCTACACCCTCTCTCCTTGTATGGTACCAACATAGCGGCACAGGTCCCTGATTCCTTCGATGCCGCCAGCTCTCATGGGTATCAGGTTTCCCATGACGATGGTAGCCTATGTGGGGGAAATCTTTCACAACCCCGTAATGTGAATCCCAGAGCCCCATATGTTGAGCTCCCCAGAGTCCAGTTCCTTACGGACGGTGCCCTCCTAATGTATGTCTCTTTTAACCCATCCCAAGCCGCAATTCTAGTGGGCTCTCTCCCAGACGCAGAGAAACAACCCATGCCCTTTTACCGAAGGATTGTCCGTATCCAAAAGACTTATTCCGCCGCATGGTGTGACTTATTTAGTCTCTGTGAAATTAAAGCAGGGGATGCTTATTGGCCCATTATGGAAAGAAGTCTCTCCAGTGTCCGACTCACCAGCGATACCGATTTACCCTCAGGCACTGAGTTCTGTGAGCAACTCCGAGTCTTGGCCCAAGATAAATTGGCTGATCAGGCTACCTGTATCAATGATGTCACCCAAGATAAGACAGAATCTGTGGAGAAGTATCACTCCAGGTTGTCTCAAATCTTCTCTGATCTGGGTTTCAGTCTGTATAATAAGGCCCATACCCAGATGCTATTTTCGGCTTTTGTAGCGGGCCTTAAAGAGCCCATACGCAAGGGCCTGATTCTGTCCCACCCCGAGTACAGAGTAATTTCTCTGGACACCCTCCTGCTAGTTGTCAAGGGCCTGGAGTCCTCTCAACCACACCTACCAAGGAAACCAGCCCCCCTCATGTTCTCTGCCCCCGTACACCAACCTCCAGGCCTACCCATGATCCAGGCCCCAGGCCGCCCTATGGGTCAGCCCCCTGTGCCGCAGCACAGAAATGGTTTTAACTGTGGTCAACCGGGTCATTTCAGATGAGAGTGTACCGCCCCAAGGGCCCCTAGACAGTTCATGCGGGATGGGAGACCACCTCACCCTACAGCTGTACCCCGTAGCCCATAACCCCACTGCCAACTATCCTGCAGCCAATGATCCCGCTGCTAGTCACCCTGCTGCCAGTTACTCTGCAGTCAGTCACCCTGCTGCCAGCCACCCTGTTGCCAACTACCCTGCTACTGGCCACCCCGCAGCAGCCAGCCGTTCCTATACTGGCCCAGACCGTGCTCATCTAGATCTCCTACAATAGGTAACTGGCAAACCTGTGTCACCTACCCCTGTCATGGCAGTGTATGCAGGTGATAAGGGATGGCCCCTAGCCACAGTGGTCCTGTGTGTAGAAGGCCACCCAACCACTTTCTTAGTTGACACAGGCACAGCCCCGAAGCGTCCTTAGAGAGCAAGACCTGCCTGACTCCTCTTTCCTGTCTAATATTGATGTCTCTTGCGTAGGTGTAGATGGCACTGCTCAGAGTAGCCCACTTACGAAGCCCTTACAGGTTGGTACTTTCCCTGATCTCCTGGCACGCTTTGTGGTTTCCTCTACCTGCCCAATTAACATGTTAGGAGCAGATGTTCTCTCCCGTTCACAAGCCTCTATCTCCTTCACCCCAGATGTGCAGATTCAGTTGTCCTCACCCCTGTCTACTGCCGATACTTTGGCCCTCTGCTCCATACCCCTCCTGCTCCACATGGAGATACCTGATAGCAGGGGCGGGCTGGGCCGGGGGGCAGGGAGGCAATTGCCCCCCAGGCCGCCCTAAATTCCTGTAAGGCCGGCCGCGGCGGGCCGGCCCTTTAAATACTGCAGCCGCCTGAGCGCTCTGTTAAGAGCCTCAGGCGGCTGCAGCTTCTCCCCTCCCCTGTAGCGTGGCCGAGCTGCACTCCGGTCCGCGGTGGCCGGCCAGCCGGCCGGAGTGATAGGAGGGTGCACACTGAGTGTGCACTTCCTGTCAGTCCGGCCGGTTACAGGAAACAGAAACTCCTGTTCCGCGCGGAGTTTCTGTTTCCTGTTACCGACCGGACTGACAGGAAGTGCACACTGAGTGTGCACCTTCCTATCACTCCGGCCGGCCGGCCACCGCGGACCGGAGTGCAGCTCGGCCACGCTACAGGGGAGGGGGTAAGAAGAGAGGGAGGAGGGGAGGGGGTAAGAAGAGAGGGAGGAGGGGAGGGGGTAAGAAGAGGGGGGAATAAGAAGGGGGGATAAGAAGAGGGGAGGGGAATAAGAAGAGGGGAGGGGAATGCTGAAGAGGAGGGGGATGGGGAATAAGAAGAGGAGGGAACAAGAAGAGGGAGGGGGTGGGATAAAAAGGGGGGAATAAGAAGAGGGGAGGGGGGAATAAGAAGAGGGGAGGGGGAATAAGAAGAGGGGAGGGGGGAGTAAGAAGAGGGGAGGGGGAGTAAGAAGGAGGGGAGATAAGAAAAAGAGGGGGGTAAGAAGAAGAAGGGGTGAGTAAGAAAAAGATGGGGGAGTAAGAAGAAGAAGAGGAGGGAGTAAGAAGAAGAGGAGGGAGTAAGAAAAAGAGGGGGGAGTAAGAAGAAGAAGAGGGGGGAGTAAGAAGAGGGAGAGGGGGAATAAGAAAAGGGGGAGGGCGGAGTAAGAGGGAGAGGGGGAATAAGAAAAGGGGGAGGGCGGAGTAAGAAGGAGGGGAGATAAGAAAAAGAGGGGGGTAAGAAGAAGAAGAAGGGGTGAGTAAGAAAAAGAGTGGGGAGTAAGAAGAAGAAGAGTGGGGAGTAAGAAGAAGAAGAGGGGGTAAGAAGAAGGGTGAGTATGAAGAAATGGGGGGAGTAAGAAGAAGAAGGGGGAGGAAGAGGAAGAAGAAGAAGGGGGGGTAAGAAGAAGAAGGGGGAGCAATAAGAAGAAGGGGGTTAAGAAGAACAGGTGGGGGAGTAAGATGACCAAGGGGGGAAGTATGAAGAACACAGGGAGGAGGGGGGTAAGACGAACACAGGGGGTGTGAGGAGAACACATAGAGGGAGGAGTGAGAAGAGCACAGGGAGGGTGGGTGAGTGTGAGAAGAGACCGCTAGGGGAGGGTGGGGGAGAGGAGAGACCACTAAGGTGCAGGGGAGAGCTCTACGGGACAGAAGGGGCAGCTCTATAGGACAGGGGCCAAGACAGGGAGCTCTTTCACACTACGCGCGCGCACACACACACAATGCATCCCTATACATACACAGAAACACAACATGCTTCCCTTACACACAGAGAAACACACAATGCATCCATTACACACACACACACAATGCAACCCTTACACACAAAGACAATGCATCCTTTGCACACATACACAGAAACAGACAATGCAAACCCGTACACACGCATGCAAACACACACACTTCTTTTCTTACATACACACAGAAACACAATGCATCTCATGCACACACATACAGACACACACCTTGCATCCCTTATGCATACAAACACAGATTCACACAATGCATCCCTTACACACAACCAGAAACACATAATACATCCCTTATACACAAATACACACTGCTTCCACTACACACAAACACACTACATCACCTGCACAAACTGGTAACCCTATACACTACATACCATAAGCACACATATTAGATCCTCTACAATAACACATAACACATCCCCTACACACTCCACTCCCTGTGAGCGAACTCATGGGTGGGTGGAACTTATGAGTGGGCCTTATGGGCATACTCACCGTCAGGCCCTGGGGCCCAGACCTTGAGCTGTGTAAGGGGCCCCAAAAAATGGAGCTGCTTCCAATTCTCCCAGAACACATTAAAGGGACACTATAGCTTAATGAAGTGGTTCTGGTGTCTATAGCTGGTCCCTGCAGGCTTTTTAATGTAAACACACACTGTGTGCAGCACTGGCGTTAGTTCATATGGGTGGGGCATTGTGATGTCACATGGGGGGCAGCAAATTTTTATTTTGTCTAGGGCGGCAAAAATCCTTGCACCGGCACTGATCCTGGGCAGGTGCACCAGTCTACTGGTGACCCACAGGAGGGGAGTGCACTGATTGCACTGCACTCTCCTCCTGTCCAGCCCCATCTTTACCGCAGTGCAAGTGCCCTCTGCCCCTAATTTACAGTGGCTCACACTCACAACAAGCAGTGCCTGGAGCCGTGAAGGAGCGGGTATGGCAAAGAGCTACTGATTAGCATAACATCAATATCCGTTATAAAACCAGGAAAAGGTGGGCATGGATGGTGAACTGATTTGGTGGTGCAATGGGCCACTTGACTGGTTTTGCCCCCCAGGCCTAAGGCTGCCAGCCCTCCCCTGCCCGATAGGGATGCAAGGGTCCTAGATGGTTCCCCCAGTGCCTTTGCCAAAATACCTTCCAAGTTATGGTCCACAGGCCCAGAAGACATTGGACACCTGCAAGTTCCCCCAGTTCTGGTGAAGTTACTTCCAGGGGCCAGCCTGCCTCGTAAACCACAGTATCCTCTGAAGCCTGCCCAAGCCCTTGCTATCTCCCAGCAGGTTGAAAGCCTATTGTCCAATGGTGCTCTGGTAAAGTTTGAGTCTCCTTGCAACACTCCCCTATTCCCCGTGAAGAAGAAGACTGCAAAGGGTGAGCCTGAAAAATACAGGCTGGTTCAAGACCTCAGAGCTGTTAATGAAGCAACCGTCCTGGATACCCCCATTGTGCCTAATCCTCATATACTCCTGTCAGGACTCCCACCTACCTCCAAGATCTTCACAGTGGTGGATTTGGCTAATGCTTTCTTCAGTGTACCCCTGGATCCCTCATGCCAATATCTGTTTGCCTTCACCCATGAACGCCAACAGTACAGCTGGAATGTCATGCCTCAGGGGGCACAAAACTATCCCAGCTAGTTTGCAAAGGCAATGGCTTCCATACTGAACTCATGGCAAAAGGCTCACATTGATGTGGTCCTGCTCCAATATGTGGATGACCTCCTCCTCTGTGCTGATGATATCCCTACTGCTGACAGTGCCTCAGAAGATCTACTTTGATATCTTGCTGAACAAGGATGCATGGCCTCCAAGAAGAAGTTACAATGGTGCTTACCCTCCGTGGTTTTCCTGGGTCGCGGTCTCTCTCATGGCACCCGTCACCTCACCCGAGACCGGGTGAGGGGAATCTCTGGTATTTATCCTCCCACAGCACACAAGCCACTTCATGCTTTCCTAGGCCTAATCTCCTACTGCAGATCCTGGATACCAGAGGCCTCTATCCTCATGCAACCTCTGTATGATGCCCTAAAGACTGAACCGTTTTCCCTGTCTCCTGAGGCCTTATCCAGCTTCTTTGCTTTGCAAGGTGCTATCTCCACCGCCCCGGCCCTGAGCCTCCCAGATTACGAGAAGCCTTTTAAGTTATTCATGTC